TTTTTGTAACTCGTGCCATCACTACTGTGTGTGTGTGTTTCGTAGCAATAACCTCACTTGAATTTGAACCTAATCTTTTATCTCCGTGTCATTTTAAATTAATGCTAATCTCATTTCCTTCTGCCTCCACGGCAAAAGATAAAATGGTCTCAGTGTGTTTCCTGGTTGCTTTCCTCTCTGTCTAATCAAACAGGTCTGAATTAACCCTCATACAGATTCAATCTGACTTTGCAGTTTAGACCTCTGTCCGAGCAGGTCACAGGGGGAAAGTCGGGAGTGGGAGTGGGCTATATGGTGGGGTGTGAGTTCTACGGGTGATGGGAGGGAACAGAGTAGAGAAATCACTGAGATGGTTGTAGGTCCTTTAACAGCAGCCCCCTCCAGACTGCCTGACGGGGGTGCTATCGATTTTTAAGTTGGGCTTGTCCCCGCCGGCTGTGGCCCCAGGGCCCATGCGTTTCTTGATCTCGGCTGCCATGGTCATGAAAGCCTGCTCTACGTTTGTGGCATTCTTGGCACTGGTCTCCAGAAAGGGGATCACCAAAGAGTCAGCAAACTCCTGAAAAGATAAGAAGAAAATTCAAGTGCAAACCGTCAGAAATCTGCAGTCAGAATATTTCAGCCCATTAGGTGTCTGTGTGGGTTCTCGGTCATCCAGGTCCGGTAGTCTAAGGAGTTTAGAAAGAAAGTTTCTTTAAGTTTCTTGAAGATGTTTCACCTCTCATCTGAGAAGCTTCTCCAGTTCGAAAACCAAATGTTGGAGAGTCCCAGGTGTTTAATCCCTGGTGGGAGTTGTCCCGTAAAACGGTAGTTGACCCACTCTTGATCAGGGTCACCCTTTCAAGTGAGATCACCGGATGCAAGATGTGAGTGGCAGTTGAGGCAGCACGATCTCAAAAATGCATTTAATCCCATCTTCCACTAGAGATTAAATACCTGGGACTCGCCAACATTTGGTTTAAGAACTGAAGACGTTTTCTAAGCTCCTTAGACGATCCCCGACACTACTCAGTGCAGCACTCTGATCAACTGAAGGCTTTTGAGGGAGGTTTTAAGAGAACAGGGTGACAGTGATTTACAACAGTCCAACAATAACATGAACTAGTTTTACATCCATCCAGATATGCCTTCATGTTTGATATGAATAATCAGGTCCCATCAAAATGACCTCGAGAGAGAGACAGACAGACAGACAGACAGACAGACAGACAGACAGACAGACAGACAGAGATAGACAGATAGACAGAGACAGACAGAGACAGACAGACAGACAGAGACAGACAGACAGACAGAGACAGACAGACAGACAGAGACAGACAGACAGACAGAGACAGACAGACAGACAGACAGACAGAGACAGACAGACAGACAGACAGAGACAGACAGAGACAGACAGACACAGACAGAGACAGACAGACAGACAGACAGACAGAGACAGACAGAGAGAGACAGACAGACAGAGACAGACAGACAGACAGACAGACAGACAGACAGAGACAGACAGAGAGACAGACAGACAGACAGACAGACAGACAGATATTCATAAGCAGCCCCACCTTAGCAGTTGTGTAGTCCACTACTTTCTTAGTCGTCAAGTCACACTTGTTGCCCACCAGAAGTTTATTGACATTTTCACTGGCATATCGGTCAATTTCCTGAAGCCACTGCTTGACATTGTTATAGGACTCCTGTGCAATGAGAATGAATATGAACAAAAAGCCGTCTCTACACATGAATACAAAGTATCTTCAAAAATCAGGGCATGACAGTGTTCAAATCTTCCTCCAAACCTTGAGGAGAACATAGTTAACACTTCTTCAGATAAAAGTAGCAAGTACTGGCAAATATTTATTTATTAATTAAATAGACCATAACTCCATAAAAATGCTCACTCACTTGGTCGGTCACATCATAAACAACTATGATGCCATGGGCTCCACGATAGTAACTGGAGGTGATAGTACGAAACCTCTCCTGGCCTGCAGTGTCCCACTGGAGGGACGAAGAGGAGCAAAGGGAGGATATATTAATATATTACAATTCTAACAAGCATATTATGATAGAAAAACAATTGTGTTTGTGAAAAATGAAACATTCATGAAGCTGTGTATAAGTTAACCTGCGCCGTCGTTGTTTTAAGTTTCTGTAGTCTGATTTCTGACAAAGGTAACATTTCTATAAAGTTGCCAGCAGACTGAATATTTCTGTTTTCCAGATGACTCTAGCCTTTTAATGACTTGGTAAATTAGAAAGCTTTGAGGAAACACATCTACCTTGAGTAGACACGCCTCAGGGCAGAGTCAAGAATACACTATACTGCCAAAAGTATTCACTCACCGATCCAAATCCCTGAACCCAGGTATTCCGATCACTTCCATAGCCACAGGTGTAAAACATCAAGCACCTAGACATGCAAACTGCTTCTACAAATGAGTCCCTGTCAGGGGTTAAAGCCAGCGTGATATTGCTATAGGCTGCCACCTGTGCAACAAGTACAGTCACCAAATTACCTTCATACTAAATATTCCAATAACAAAGTGGAAGCAATTGTGAAGGACAGCAACTCAGACGTGACGTGGTAGGCCATGTAGACACGTTCTGTTGGGTAACTTCTCCTGGGTTATTCTGATGGACATATCTGAGTTTGGCGGTTGCCAGGAGAAGAATACTTGTCTGACTTTCAAAGTGTAAAGCTTGTTGCAGGAGGTTTATGATGTAGGGCTGTTTTTCAGGAGTTGCCCAGTGGTTACAATGAAATCGTCCAATGCACATGTAGTATAAAAGGTTCAGCAAGGATTTGACCTGTCACTTCACGAACGATCAAAACAAACATCAGTTTGGACTTGAGGAAAAAGAGTTGTTGATTCTCACAAAGCAGGAGATGGATATGCAAAGTTATCACAGCATTTCCAAGTATCAGGAGCTGGAGTGATTAGTATCATGAAGCAGTCAGAGCAAAAACAGATTTGCATCATCGCTGTGTCTCCCAAAATGACAACGATCTAAAACATATTTCTCTAATAGTGAAAAACTACCTTCAGAAAACTAACAACAACTTTACTGACTGGCCTGCACAGAAGCCCTAACTTAAACTTAAAAATCAGTGGGGTTAACTGAGGATCGAGCTCCGATCAGAGGATTATAAAATCTGGAGGAACTTGAGCTGGGATAGCTGGGAGGGAGAGACATCGGTGTGACTCCAGGTTCACCAGTCATGGCGTCAGGTCTGCTGTGTAAATACAAATATAAACTATCGAACCCCATGTTCAGTCCACCAATTGTAACCAAGCAAACAATCCACTTTCTAAAAGCTGACATCTCACAGATTCCAGAATTGCAAGTTTTGTCACACTCTGGCCAAATTTCCCTCAACCAGCCGCAAAAGAAGACCATAAATGTGGTGCTCTGTGTGTACATGTGCCCTCACAATCTGCAATTTGATGGTCTTGCCATCCAGCTCGATGGTGCGAATCTTAAAGTCCACTCCAATGGTGCTGATGTAGCTCTCTGTGTAGGTGTCATCCTACAGAAAGAGGAGGGACAGCATGATTCAGGCCAGCAGCAAAACCAGTTAAAAACAGTCATTCAGTCCAACAGAAGTGAAAAACAC